TAAAGAGTGTCTTTCCACACGTATTATGATGATTGTTAAGACACTAGATAACTTCATAACATCTGAGAGTCCTTGGTCTAACCATCGGACCCCAGGGTTCTTGTTTGAACAAATAGTGTATTGCTCCCAGGCTACAAACATTGACAAAAAGTTTGATGTGTTTGACACTTTAACACTGTACCTTGGGCTACGCCCATGGATGTTAGTATTGAAATTAGTATTACATAATCATCATGTGTTTGCTCTCTTTCTTTGGTATGTACATTTGACAGCCCAGTTGATAAAATATATTTTGGCCAAACATAGCAATGATCCACACACTGAGCCGTGTGCACAATCTAAAAAGTCACTCATTCAGTGTTTGTCAGGCTAAAACAAAATAAAAGGTGATTTTGTTTGGTGAGTTTTGAATAGGAAAAAAAAATCGCATTTTGATTTGGTTTAGATAATCAGAAATAGAAATGGACTTTTAGACAGAAAGAATGAAACTAAGTTTTTCTAAGCCATCAACACTTTTCGCATTATAATAAAATTCTGAAAAAGGCTATAAAATATACCAGAAGACTTAAAATGTTCATCTTTAAATAATAAAATAAAGAAAATTAAACGCAATACTGAAAGATGTATAAAATTTCTCACAGAATCTGAGATATGTGTGATTAGGGTCCTTAAGGAAACATCCTTGGACTGCAGGGGCCAGACATCCAACATGGCCACTGTAGAGAAACTCTACAGGCAGTCAACACATCTACCTAGGAAGTACCACCCACCTGTGTGCCATGTACAGGTTGCCGTGGTGACGCCATACTGTTACTCCTACTAATGTTATTATACACAACACACCTGTTTATGCTCCTAGTGCAGAGTTTTAATTTCCCTCATCATGAGGATCAATCTAGAAAGTTGGAGACCATTGCAGCATTTATCTTTTTTAAAGCCAACTACTGAATAATTCAAAAAATAAGAAATCAAACTGTAATAATCTTGATCATTTGGATGTTTGATTCCTAAATGTCAAACTAGGGGGGAGATAATTTGATTGCAGCTGCTGGAAAAATCTTCAAAATTGTTTAGACCAAGTTAGAGGCTGTTAAGCTAAGCCAGTCTTAGCTGAGATCAAAGCAAATTCTAAGGTAATGTTATCTGGGGGGGCAGGTCTATGCCCAACTTTAAGTGTATTTGTGTATTTGCTTTAAAACAAGGTGAAATCAACATCAATATATTATAATGATATAGTCTGAAATAACAGTCGGTGTACACAGATCAAATCAATACCAACCAAATTTGATTTGACTTTAAAATCATTTTTTAGTAAATGACATTTTTTTAACAATGAAAACATAATGTACTTAGTAATTATTAGTCTATGATCATTATACCAGTCAAATTAACAGTCAATGTTGTGTACAGCTACCTGTAAGTACTCAGTATAGTAGAAGTTGGCGTCAGTGAATATCAATGAATTCAGAATGTAACGAAGACCAGAAGCAGATTCACGTTTAAAAATGTGACATACCTCAGCACACTGTCCCCAGCAGGAGTTATAATAAAACAACGTTAACCTCAGTGAGACTGACGATTACTGTCACATGTAGATCTAGTCTGTACACTGTAGCTGACACAGCAGCTCTTACAGGGAATAGCTAATATTCTATGTATATCTACTGAAAGACCCCCACCCATAATGTAATAAGGTAGAGCCAGGAGATAGATAATTAGCAATTTGAAAGCACAGACTTTATAAAGAGAGATCGAGGCAGCCAAATTGTTGTACTGACCTTTTATATGTCTCTATATGGCAAACTAATTTCTCATGTCTAGTATGTTTTCATCTTTTCTCTAGAGGTCTTAGTAATTTTTTATCAATTCACCTGGGGTTCGTGAAAAACAAGTTTTGTAGTGAAAAACTCAGTTTTTATGCTGCCTGGCCTGTCGCGATCGTATGCTATGACGTTTTACCAGAGTGTGCAAAAACTACATCGGAATTAACAAATGCCTGGTTAAATTTGTTCAGACCGATAAAAAAAAAATGATCATTTGATATTTTGGTTAGACAATGAATGAAATCAAATAGAAATTGATTTTCAGTCTGATGAGTGATAATCCTTAAAGGGTGTCACAGACATTGTTTACATAGAAAAGTGCTCCTTGCATATATATTGATTTGAAAATATCATAAATTAAAAAGTACAGTATGTATTTGAGGTTCCCACAAAGACTATAAAACACATGCCAAAGCAATCAAGCCCCATATCGTCATTTACATAGATTTATAAGAGAAAATTTCGCTACTTTCATATCAGCTTTTGTTCAAATTAGTACACAGGCAATATTTACAAAATACTGACAGTAAACCATGAAGTATTGGTGTCAAAAATTTGCATTAGCAGTCAAAACAAATGATAACGCCCACTTTTTGTAAACAGTAACGGAAAAATTTGATTTGGAAATTTGAGTCACCCAGTTGTTTTCAGATATCAACACTTTGAAACATTGAAGCCATGCCATTGAATTCCCAGGGCACTGTAACATGGAGCCCCAAATAAATGACCAAGTTTATAGATACTGGAGAATGTTCCCAAATAGGAAGTGCCTGGGTGTTAGACTCCAACACACCCTATAGTGGACAAGTAAGGCTACTATATTGTGTGTGTGTGTTACCTTCGTAATATTTTTCAACAGGTAGGCTAACTTATATATATATATATATAATCTGATACCTGAATGCAAAATGCTAGATTTTCTGCAAGAAGATAATTCAGCTATATTCTGTGTGTTTATATTAACCGATTGATTGCAAGATGCCAGATTTTCTGCTGGAAAAATAAAGGTCATCACTATGATGTTGCTAGATTTCATTGACGAACATAATGTCTTTGAAAGTCCATAGTATTTCAAGATAAATTAGCTGGTTTCAACAATTTGAAAATTTTACTACATGTTGAATACAATGACATGCTATAGTTATGACCATGATTACTTAATGTAAGATGGGTCTCTCTGGTTCAAGTACACCAAACACAAACCATTAAGTGGGTTATTGACCTTTTTACCTGTCCCTACATTCTATAGAGCTCTAGGGCTTTCTGAGATGATCGATGTTGCATAGAATAAAGTCATTAAAGATGTTAGTACTTCATACCATCAGTAGACTATAGTAATTAATACACATCAAAGACAGCTTTAGCCTTTAGATATAGCAAAACGATCAACAGGTTGATATCAAAATTTCTGAATGCTGCACCACTGGACTGTGATACGTAATGAAGCAAAGCAGTATTCTCCATTCACTGCAGTTATTGTGCAGCAAATTTCCTGTTGAGATGCACAAGAATAAATGGTCGGTTTTCTACTGAAAGTTGGGTATTAACAAAACTACACAATTAAGAACATTTTAATTAGTAGTAAATCTTCCTACATACAAAGCAGGACACAATGAAATTGTGTTGAAAAGTCAATGTAAAACAGCACACAGCCTTGTTGTCAAGTGTGACGTCAAAAGATTCTGGTGTCAAAGAGTATACATATACAGTATGTATGCTACTAATTCCCACAATTATTCATAAAGTTTCTGTTTTTTTCCCATGTTTAAAAAATGACATCAATTGAAAATTTAATGTTTTTCCTGTTGAATACCACTGCATTTTCAGAAGATATTTGTTATGAGCATGTAGATGTACACAGAAACCATCCTAGCCTCTAGATCTATATTCAGTCAAAAAGCAGTGTTAGAAGTCACAAAACAGAGTATCTTAGACAAACAGGGCTACACACTCTTTTGTCCCAAGCTGATATGGCATTGTAAAATGGTCCCAATTATAAAGCTTCAATGTAGTACCTTACAAGAAAAAAATCTAAAAAAATCTGAAACCTCAAAGCCCTGAAATCTGACCTTACTATCTATGTAAAGCTTGTCAAGATAGAGCAACATGTTTAAGTCAGAAGCTTTTATCTTGGAGTCACTGTAACCCCATCCACAACAGTTGTTAATAAGTGCTAAAAAAACCAGATTTTAATCTCTCAACCCCTTCCGTTATACTAGTGATACTTAAAAGTTTCTTTATATCAAATAGAATCAATTCTTTGAAAATGAACTTTTTCAGCCAGTTCACCACTAACATCTGGCTATTGGCTATAGGGAGTTGTGACCTTCAACCCGATATCAGTTTAATTTTTGCCTTAGCTTCAGCAAATAAAAAAATAAAAAGTTTAAAAAGAAAGTTACTTTCAGTTACTTTTTCAATGTCTGCAGATCAATCAACTATATACTGTCAGTAACCTATGACATTTGATTTCTTTGTTGCATGAAGTTTAACCTTTGATTGACCTTTGATTTAGCTATCTCCCAATGTTTAGCATACAGACATTACATCCCAAGCAGATTACCTTCCTAATCAATTAACCAAAAGACAGCCAGTAATAAAAACAATGATTTTATGTAACAATGAGTAGTGTATTTGACATGTAGTAAATTATATGTAGGTCATCTCTAGATCTCCAGTAAATACTTGTCTTAGTCTACATACCAACACACCTGTCTGTAAAGACATCCTTTGTGTTAATTATAACAATTACTGAGTGCAATTTTGTAAAACAATTAAGCAACTCAGTACAAATTTCCAGCATACAAAAACATTCATAAATTTACATCAAGGAATTCAATCAATAAAGCATAAAATGATTTACAACTTAAGTTGTGCTCCATTCATTCAGAATTCACTAATTGATTGTCTAGTCAGCCATTCAACATGTTTGTTTACAAATTGACATCAAGTAATCCAGCTATCTAATGTAACAATACAGCAACTTTTGCTGGGAAGGCAAGTGGTTGGATTATCCTCTGGTGTACCAATATATATATATATATGCTGTTTTACACCAAAATGCTGACATCATAATGTCGGCTGGTATGCCAAAAGTAGTACTACTATCATCAATATTGTACTTGATAAGGAAAGCAAGGCAACATTACCTGGGAAAACAAACACTGATTTATATACCTGTACTGTTGTATTCTTACATCCATCCATTGTGGTGACTGCTTAATATCCTAATATATCAGTCTGGTTGATGATGCTGCAGGCACAGTGTTTATTTTAACAGAGAACACAACCACTGGATGAGACTGTGATATTGAAATGTGTTGGCGGAGGAAGAGAACCACAGCACGGGACTGTGACAGAGCAATGGAACCAACGAGAACAAGACGAAAGCGTGGGAGTGTAAAGCGTCACAGAGAAAAATACCACAGTTTGGGACTGTGACAGGGGAATGAAGGAAGTGTCACCGAGAACAACATCACCGAGTAGGACTGTGACACAGGAATGGATGCAATAACTAGCAAAGAATAAATACCACACCAAAGGACTGTGATAGAGCAATGGAGCAGTTTCACAAGAAAACAGGAATGGAGGCAGTACCAGGCAGAAAAAAACCCACAGCATTGGACTATGACTAGGGAACATAGGCCATGTCAAAAGGAACGAAACTGTAACATTGGACTCTGACTAGGGAACATAGGCCGTGTCAACAGCAACAAAACTGTATCATTGGACTATGCCTAGGGAACATAGGCCATGTAAACAGGAACAAAGCTGTAACATTGGACTGTGACAGGTAGTGGGGTACCGATAACCGGAAACATCAAGTAAATCGAGCTAGCCATGAGGTAGATTTGATAAACGATTTAGCAGTCAGCACATAAAAGATTGATTTTGAAACTTTGTCATGAAAAACATTGTTTTTGTAGGTTTGTCATGAAGAACTGAAATTCTTAAGATACATACGGTTGCTTTTCATGTTTAATCCAAAATAAAACGGTCCTTTCACCCGCTCTCGTTGATTCTCGCTTGAATTATGCCAGCATTCAAGCGTGATAGCTATAGCGTCATTACGTAATCAATGTCAGTGCAGTGATTTGTAGGTAGGGGCAAATTTATAACTGACGAAATCCAAACTGACGGCAAATGACAGCCACCGGAATAAAAGCACTTTCTTTTTCAGCGAAGGGATGGTGGGACATAAACTTTACAGTACCAACTCAATTTGACTCAATTTCAAATGGGTTAACAATAATAAATGTCATATCAAGTACTTAACCCAAAATGCATAACCTGATTTGTTTGTGTTACGATAGCTATCATCATGACTTGTCCGCAGGAGATAGGAAATTGTCAATTTCTGAAGTACCTTTTCTCATTATATGAGCATCTCTTGGATGAAGTTATTAGAAAAATAACACAAAGTTATATAGATATTTTTTAATGATTGGACAAAATGTCAATTTATTAAATCTGGATGAGACTGTGATATTGAAATGTTTTGGCGGAGGAAGAGAACCACAGCACGGGACTGTGACAGAGCAATGGAGCAGTTTCACAAGACAACAGGAATGGAGGCAGTTCCAGGCAGAAAAAAACCCACAGCATTGGACTATGACTAGTGAACATAGTCCATGTCAACAGGAACAAAGCTGTAACATTTGACTGTGACAGGGAGTGGTGTACCGATAACCGGAAACATCAAGTAAATCGAGCTAGCCATGAGGTAGATTTGATAAACGATTTAGCAGTCAGCACATAAAAGATTGATTTTGAAACTTTGTCATGAAAAACATTGTTTTTGTAGGTTTGTCATGCAGAACTGAAATTCTTAAGATACATACGGTTGCTTTTCATGTTTAATCCAAAATAAAACGGTCCTTTCACCCGCTCTCGTTGATTCTCGCTTGAATTATGCCAGCATTCAAGCGTGATAGCTATAGCGTCATTACGTAATCAATGTCAGTGCAGTGATTTGTAGGTACGGGCAAATTTATAACTGTCGAAATCCAAACTGACGGCAAGTGACAGCCACCGGAATAAAAGCACTTTCTTTTTCAGCGAAGGGATGGTGGGACATAAACTTTACAGTACCACACAGCACGGGACTGTGACAGAGCAATGGAGCAGTTTCACAAGCAAACAGGAATGGAGGCAGTGCCAGGCAGAAAAAAACCCACAGCAATGGACTATGACTAGGGACCATAGGCCATGTCAACAGGATCAAAACTGTAACATTGGGCTATGACTAGGGAACATATTCCATGTCAACAGCAACAGAACTGGAACATTGGACTATGACTGGGGAACATAGGCCATGTAAACAGGAACAAAACTGTCACATTGGACTATGACTAGTGAACATAGTCCATGTCAACAGGAACACAACTGTAACATTGGACTCTGACTAGGGAACATAGGGCATGTCAACAGGAACAAGACTGTAACATTGGACTATGCCTAGGGAACATAGGCCATATCAACAGGAACAAAACTGAAACATTGGTCTATGACTAGGGAAAATAGGCCATGTCAACAGGCACAAAACTGTAACATTGGACTATGACTAGGGAACATAGGCCATGTCAACAGGAACAAAGCTGTAACATTTGACTGTGACAGGTAGTGGTGTACCGATAACCGGAAACATCAAGTAAATCGAGCTAGACATGAGGTAGATTTGATAATCGATTTAGCAGTCAGCACATAAAAGATTGATTTTGAAACTTTGTCATGAAAAAGATTGTTTTTGTAGGTTTGTCATGAAGAACTGAAATTCTTAAGATACATACGGTTGCTTTTCATGTTTAATCCAAAATAAAACGGACCTTTCACCCGCTCTCGTTGATTCTCGCTTGAATTATGCCAGCATTCAAGCGTGATAGCTATAGCGTCATTACGTAATCAATGTCAGTGCAGTGATTTGTAGGTACGGGCAAATTTATAACTGACGAAATCCAAACTGACGGCAAATGACAGCCACCGGAATAAAAACACTTTCTTTTTCAGCGAAGGGATGGTGGGACATAAACTTTACAGTACCAACTCAATTTGACTCAATTTCAAATGGGTTAACAATAATAAATGTCATATCAAGTACTTAACCCAAAATGCATAACCTGATTTGTTTGTGTTACGATAGCTATCATCATGACTTGTCCGCAGGAGATAGGAAATTGTCAATTTCTGAAGTACCTTTTCTCATTATATGAGCATCTCTTGGATGAAGTTATTAGAAAAATAACACAAAGTTATATAGATATTTTTTAATGATTGGACAAAATGTCAATTTATTAAATATAATCCTTTTGGCGTTTATTTCAACCGATAATCGATTACCAATCGATCTTGAATGTCTGATAATCGATCTTCAAAATTGGACCAATTCCAAGCACTACAGTAATGAATTAAGACAGTCTCAAAGAGAACAACAGAACCACAGAATGGGACTGTGATAAGGCAATGGAGATTGGGATTGCAACAAGAGAATGGAGGAGAAACGAGCTTAGCTTATTTTCTACTGAAAATAAAAAGGATAACCAAAAATTGCTATTTGTTAGATATAAACTACAGGAAACTTTACAGACATCAAAATGTTAGAATAACTTTACAAAATCATAGTGCTATTGTCTTCCATGATGGCCTATTCATATTTATCTATTCAGTTTTGTATTGAAAGTTGCATAAAATTTGTTTAACTCCCAAATTGCCAAAGGATTTTCCAATCAAAAATTGCTTGCCTTAAACCATAATACAAGCAGAAACTGCTCAAAGGGACTATAATTCTATATATTTCAGTACACTTTTCCATAGAGTTACCTTATACCCAGCTGTTACAAGTGAAAACTAAACAACTGTTTCCAAAGAAAATCAAAAGAGCCCAGATTACACCTAATCACAATTTCCCTTATGAGAATTTTAAACCACGTTTCATACAGTACAACCTGGTCAGGTTATTGATATTTCCTCTATAAAACACAGAAATGCTTAGTGGCTCCCCCAGGGTGAACAGGAAGGGTCTGTTAATTCTCAAACATCAGACAACAGCAGACTATTTATAACACTTCAACCACTATAAGATACAATCCTGATTTCAATTAACCGATATCATAACATAGAATCATTATATAATTAACAAACATAACAGCTATGTTATATAAGGTTCACCCAGTACAGACAGTAAGGGTACCTGGGTAGCCCAATAGTCAGAGACTAGTGAAATCTCCAGCTGGACTAGTACATGTACTTAGTACTTCTAAAAACTGCTAGCCCAAATGACAAGTCAAAACTTGATTTTATATATCATGTATAATATTGGGAAAGTAGAATTTCCACAGGGACTAGTAAAATTAAAATCTACTACATATGTAGCCTGACTGACCAGTGGTTTTTGAAATTAATTTCTAGTCCGGTCAGTAATACTTAGACACTAATTGGAAAATGAACATTCCAGTCCTCCAATATCGGGGAAAATGTGCTTTTGCTAACTGCAACTGGTTGTAGAGTGTATACATGTTAAATACTCAAGTTTGTTTTAAAACATAATGAACATCAAAAGTTAGATAAATTTATCACAAGAGAAAGTAAATACATTTTCCACTCCACTCAGAGTTTATTTTTATATAAAATACAATGACATTCAGTAGTGTCTAACCAATCTGTCAACAGCTCAAAATTTAACAATAAAATTACAAGTGATATTTGATTTATTTTGTCCCATCATAAATACCAAACTAAGTAAACACAATACATTTTAGTGACATTAAAACACTCACCATAAGCTCTGCCCCGCAGGAACTGTTTTGGAATAGATGTTAATGATATAAATGCTACATGTAACAAGCTGACAGACTCAAAATGACAAACCACGCCCAACTATTCGAGTCTTTACCTCAAAATTTGAGTAGTCACCTGTGATTCCTGGGTTGTGGGGAGGGGTTGAGGCATTGTCAATATAGACCTGGAGTTGGGGACAATCTTATCAGGTTTTATAAACCGGACAGATATGGCCACACCACATTACATGAGTCGGTGTTCCCTGGACAGCTAGTGTCCATGTCCCCTGTCCAGAAACATTCTGGCTATCTACAGTAAACACCACCCTGCACATACCGACCAAATACCATAAATTCATATTGAATGATAGCCAAGACTGGTCAGGCTGACCTGTATTGAGATGAAAGGGTTTATTCCATCCAGGACATGGATCCCTGGGGATGGGGTTGAGGTGGGGAGAGAGGAGAACAGTGTTTCAGATGATAGAGCTTACTTGATCCAGGGGCAAAACCAAAAGGGATGGGGATAAAGATCATATACCTAGCAAGGACCCCTAATACCCTTCAAAATACCAGTTTTTAGCATTTTTGCAGGGAATTTGTCCACTCAATTATGTTGATATAT